TAATCGATGATACTCTGTCATTTGGTTCCTACAGATGATAATGCGAAAATAGAACCAATTGTACTAATTCCACAATCATTTTTAGTACAGTATTCATAATCAGACTGGAACAGAAAAGAAAAGAATAGAACAGAATAGTGAAGAAAAAATAATTGTATATACGTGTGTTTTAATATGTGAGATTTGTAGCTGAAGATGATTTAAACATAATAAATCAAAAGCTTCTACGAAAAATATAATGATTGTGGTATTAGTATAACTGATTCTATCTTTGCTCAATATTATCACCACAAACAATATTGGTATTGATAACGCGAAACTCTTTTTTTATTTCATATGTTTGTTAGAAATATGTAGACGCTTTATTGACATGGTGGCGCTCTTTCCTTGGTTTATAAAATCTTGTTATTACAATTTCTCTTAAAAAAACGTTTAGAGTTGGAAAAAATGTGAAAAATGAAGTGTTTTGATATTTTATTTATTTTTTGTTTCGAAAATAAGACATAGTTCTTCTTTTCAGAACAATAGTGACACTTACACATTAATGCGTTCTTGTGCCGATACGTGACGTGGTGTAGCCATTTTCTTCTCATTGCAACGTTGCTGATTCCTCTTTTTTACTTCGCTTAAACAAAAGATGGAAAAAAGAATATACTGCTCTGTTGCTGATAGATAACTAAAATAAAAAACAATAAGAGCATATATCTTGAGAAAAGCATATTGATTTTCATTCATGAGAAAGTAGCGATCATCAATCTACACATAATACTTGTATTTTTAAATTATTTAAGTTACCATCATGGGAATTAAATTTCTTGAATTTGTTAAACCATTTTGTCAATTGATACCGGAAATTCAAAAACCTGAACGTAAAATTCAATTTCGTGAAAAAGTGTTATGGACAGCTATTACATTATTCATATTTTTGGTTTGTTGTCAAATTCCCTTATTTGGTATTATGTCATCAGATTCAGCTGATCCATTCTATTGGATTCGAGTTATTCTTGCATCAAATCGTGGTACATTAATGGAATTAGGCATTTCACCTATTGTTACGTCAGGACTCATTATGCAATTGTTAGCCGGAGCAAAAATAATCGAAGTTGGTGATACGCCAAAAGATCGTGCATTATTTAATGGTGCACAAAAATTATTCGGTATGGTAATTACAATTGGACAAGCTATAGTCTATGTTATGACAGGAATGTATGGTGCCCCGTCAGATATTGGAGCCGGTGTATGTCTATTGATTATTGTTCAACTATTTGTTGCTGGTTTGATTGTTTTATTACTCGATGAATTATTACAAAAAGGCTATGGACTTGGCAGTGGAATATCGTTGTTTATTGCGACAAATATTTGTGAAACAATTGTATGGAAAGCATTTTCACCAGCAACAATAAATACTGGAAGAGGAACAGAATTTGAAGGAGGAATTATAGCATTATTTCATCTGTTGGCTACAAGAGCTGATAAAGGTAAGTTTTTGAAGACTTAATGTCTCTAAAGTTGCTAAAATTATTAACGGGTGGTTTAGAATAAATCAGTCACTTAGTATTTTGCTCATATCTCAGTTGGATTTTATCTTCATAATCTTTATTGTTTTCTTAAAAGATGCGCCGTGAAATTCTCTACAAAAAATATGCTAAACATTTTGTTATATACTGTAATGATAAAAGAATATAGAAGAAATACTGTG